CTTCTCAAGTAAGGAGACCAAAACTGCACACAGTACTCCAGGTGTGGCCTCACCAGGACCCTATACAGCTGCAGCATAGCCTCCCTGTTTTTAAACTCCATCCCTCTAGCAATGACAGACAAATTCCATTTGCCTTTTTAATTACCTGCTGCACCTGCAATCCTACTTTTAGCGATTCATGCACAAGGACACCCAAGTTCCTCTGCACAGCAGCATTCTGCAATTTTTTACCATTTAAAACATAGTCCATTTTGCTGTTATTCCTACCAAAATGGATGACCTCACACTTATCAACATTGTACTCCATCAGCCAGACCATTGCCCACTCACTTAGACCATCTATATCCCTCTGCAGACTTTCAGTGTCTTCTGCACACTTTGTTCTTCCACTTATCTTATTGTCATCTGCAAATTTTGACATACCACACTTAGTCCCCAACTCCAAGTCATCTATGTAAATTGTAAACAATTGCGGTCCCAACACTGATCCCTGAGGCACACCATTAGCCACTGACCGCCAACCAGAAAAACACCCATTTACCCCGACTCTTTGCTTTCTACTTGTCAACCAATCCTCTATCCATGCCAATATATTACCTGTAATACCGTGCAACTTTATCTTATGTAGCAGCCTTTGGTGTGGCACCTTGTCAAATGCCTTCTGGAAATCCAGATACACCACATCCACAGGTTCACCATTGTCCACCATGCAAGTAAGGTCAGAAGCGGGATGTTCACTGGCACTTGCACAATTCATGCCTCCCCAGGTACTGAAGCAGTCTGTGTCCAAATGCAGCAACTTCTGGACAGTATCCAGGCTTGGGCTGATAATTTGCAAGTTGGACTTGTGTCACACAAGTGCCAATAATCATCTCCAATAATAAAGAATCTCACAGTCATTCCTTGTCATTCAGTGGCATTATCTTTGCTGAATTCTCCACTATCAACATTGTGTGACTTACCAATGACCAGAAATTGATTTAGATCAACCATATAAATAAGTGGATACAAGAAAGGTAAGTGGCCAGGAATTCTATGGCAAGTAACTCACCTCCTGAGTCCTTGAATCATATCCACCATCTATAAAACACAAGTTAGGTGTTGAGTACATCTCCAACAATACTCAAGCTTGACACCATCCAGGACAAAGCAGCCCACTTGGTTGGCACTATATCCACTGCTCATGTGCAGTAGCAGCAGTGTGTACCACCTACAAGATTCACTGCAGAAATTTACCAATAGTCCTTCAACACCACCTTCCCAACCCACAGTCTCTCTTGTTTAGAAGGACAGGGGCAGCACACGATAGTGAACATTACCACTTGCAAGTTCCCCTCTAAGACATGTACCGTCCTGACTTGGAAATATATCGCTGTTCCTTCAAAATCCTGAACTCCCTCTTTAACAGCACTGTGGGATCCCTACACTACATGGACTGCAGCAGTTCAGGAAATCAATTCACCACCACCTCCTCAAGGGCAACTAGAGATGGGCACTTAATGCAGGCAAAGCCAGCAATGCCCACATCCCCTCAAACCAAAAGATAAAAAGCCTATCCTTGATCAGTATTTTAATCATCGGCTCTAATATCTAAGTGATTTTCTCAAACTTTGTCTTTTAATGTTTTTGTGAAGTGCCTTGCAATGCTTTATTATTTTAAAGTTGTTGTAAAGAGACAGTTGGTGTTAGCACTCACCTTCATGTCTATGATATCAATGTTCTTAGGCTATTTCATTCCAATAATAATGTTTTAGATATTTTTGTTGACATAACAAATGGTGATGTAAAATGGCTGATGTCATGTACGTGCACTTTCACAAGGTTATTATATGTTTAAAGGTTATTTGACAGTGTCACACAATAAACCTGTAAACAAAATTGAAGCCCGTGGGATTAGAGGAACACGAGCAGCATGGCTGCGGAATTGACCAAGTAACTGAAAATAGGGAGTGGTGGCCAACAGTGACCTGAGTAACCAAAGGAAGGGGACAGAAAGGGGAAAACATTTAAAAGTAAAAATTACAAAACAAGTTTGTTTATTCATTCATGGGATGAGGACATCGCTGGCTGGGCCAGCATTTATTGCCCAGATGGCAGTTTAAGAGTCACCTACATCACTGTGGGCCTGGAGTCACATGTAGTCTGGACCAGGTGAGGATGGCAGTTTCCTTCCCTAAAGGACATTTGTGTACCAGATGGGTTGTTCCAACAACCGGCAGTGGATTCATGGTTATCACTTTGAGTATAGGAGTTTGGAAGTCATGTTTTTTTTTCCTTTATTCATTAATGGGATGAGGGCGTCACTGGCCAGGCAGCATTTATTGTCCATCCCTAATTGCCCAGTGAGCAGTTGAGAGTCAACCACATTGCTGTGGGTCTGGAGTCACATGTAGGCCAGACCAGGTAAGGATGGCAGTTTCCTTCCCTAAAGGACATTAGTGAACCAGGTGGGCTTTTCTGACAATCAACACTGGATTCATCCACTGTGGGCATCCTTAGATTCTTACTTCCAGATATTTTTATTGAATTCAAATTTCACCATCTGCCGTAGTGGGATTTGAACCCAGGTCCCCAGAATGTTATCTGGGTCTCTGGATTAACAGTCCAGCAATAATACCACTAGGCCATTGCTTTCCCTGTTGAGGTTATACGGGACATTGGCTCCGGAATACTGTATCCAGTTCTATTCGCCCAGTTTAGGAAGGATATTATGAAGCTGTAGAGAGTTCAGAAGAGATTTACCAGGATGTTGCCAGGTATGAAAGGCTTGAGTTATAAAGAAAGGCTGGATAGGCTGGAACTTCTCTAAACTGCCTAAGCTCCGCTGAAAGGCGACTTGATAGATGTTTATAAAATAATGAGAGCTATAGATAGAGTTAATGGTAGTTGTCTTTTCCCTAGGATGGAGGATTTCAAGCCTAGGGGGCACATTTTTAAGGTGAGATGAAAGAGATTTAAAGACATCAGAGGTAAATTTTTTTGCATGGGGTGGTTCGCATGTGGAATGAACGCCCTGATGAAGTGGTGGATGCGGGTACAGTTACAGCGTTTAAAAGACATTTGGATAAGTACATGAATAGGAAAGGTTTGAAGGGATATGGACCAGGAGCAGACAGATGGGACTAATTTAGTTTGGGATTTATGTTTGGCGTGGACTGGTTGGACCGAAGGGTCTGTTTCTGTGCTGTATGACTCTGTGACTAGACTCTTAATTCCAGGTTTCGTTGAGTTCAAATTCTACCAGCTGCTGTGGCATGATTCAAACCCAGATCTCCAGGACACAGCCATTTCTGAAGAAGGCTCCCGACCCGAAGCGTTAACTTTCCTGCTCCTCTAATGCTCCCTGGCCTGCTGTGTCCCTCCAGCTCCACACAATGTTACCCCAGAACATTACCTGGGCCTCTGGATTAACAGTATGGTGATAATACCACTAGGTCATCGCCTCACTCAGTGTTGTCTTGCATTGAGCACCAGCCTTGACAATGATAGCCCAAATAGGATCCTTCTGTGTTGTATAATTCTACAATTTGAGACAGTATTGTAAATGGCTGTGCCCAAAGTCCTTGATCTCTGTTTTGACAGTAAACGGAAATAGAGTTCAATAACTATCTGTTCATTAGTACTGTTTGTCCGGTATATGATGCCAAAAATTTTACTTGACTCCCTTCCTCTCTGTCTGTGTATGGAGAGTGGAGCTGAAGTTGGGAATTAACTTGCGGAGTAGGATCAAGGGGCTGAATGGCCAGCTTCTGCTCCTATCATTCCGGGTATTGCATGGCCGTATTCTCTTTTGCTCAATTCAGTGTAGCTTTTTGGAGCAGACCCTATTTGTACTTTTTTCTCAGCTGATAGATTTATTGATCTTAATTGGAGACAGGTATCTGCAGTGCCTGATAAATAATGAATGTGATTCGTGCTAATTATGGAGAACAAGATATCAGAGAAATTGCAGTTCCCGGCAGCAAACAGGGAACCAAGACACTGATGTGAACTTTATTTTAAATGATACATTTTTTGAACGATGTAAGTAAGTTCGGGTTCTGCCAGGGCCACTCGGCTCCTGACTTTGTTACAGCCTGGGTTTAAACATGGACAAAAGAGCTGAATTCCAGAGGTGAAGTGAGAGTGACAGCCCTTCACAACAAGGCTGCATTCGACTGAGTGTGGCCTCAAGGAGCCCTAGGAAAACTGGAATCAATAAATATCGGGGGCAAACTCTCTGATTAGAGTCATATTTGGCACATAGGAGGATGGTCATGGTTGTTAAGGCGTCGGTCATCTCAGCTCCAGGACACCTCTACAGGAGTTCTTCAGGGTAGTGCCCTAGGCCCAACCATCTTCAGCTGCTCTATCAATGACCTTCCCTCCATCATAACGTCAGAAGTGAGGATGTTAACAGTGATGACTGCACGATGTTCAGCACCATTTGCGACTCTTCAGAATCTGAAGCAGTTCATGTTCAAATGCAACAAGATCCGGACAATATCCGGGCATTGGCTGTCAAGTGACAAGTAACATTCATGCCAAATGCCAAGCTATGACTATCACCGATAAGAGACCGTCTAACCACTGCCCCTTGGCATTCAATGGCGTTACCTTCACTGAATCCCCCAGTATCAACATCCTGAGGGTTTTCATTGACCAGAAACTCAATTTGACTCACCACATAAACACTGTGGCTACAAGCACAGATCAGTGGCTAGGAATACTGCGGCACATAACTCACCTCCTAACTCCCCAAAACCTGACAATCATCTACAAGGTACAAGTCAGAATTGTGAAGGTATATTCCCCACTTGCTTGAATGGATGCAGCTCCAACAACACTCAAGAAGCTTGACACCATCCAAGACAGAGCAGCCGGCTTGACTGGCACTACATCCACAAATATCCACTCCCTCCACCACTGACGCTCAGTAGCAGCACTGTATACAGTCTACAAGATGCACTGCAGAAGTTCACCAAAGATCCCCAGACAGTACCTTCCAAACACACAACCACTTCCATCTAGAAGGACAAGGGCAGCTGACACATGGGATCACATCACCTTCAAGTTTCCCTCCAAGCTACTCACCATCCTGACTTGGGAATATATCACTGTTCCTTCACTGTTGCTGGGTCAAAATCCTGGAATTCCTTCCCTAAGGTCATTGTGGGTCAACTCACAGCAGCTGGACTGCAGCGGTTACAGAAGGCAGCTTACCACCACCTTCTCAAGGGGCAACTAAGGATGGACAATAAATGCTGGCCAGCTAGCGCTAATTCATCCCACAAATGAATTTTTAAAAACTGCCTTCTCAATACAGCATAATTTTAATTTGTGGAAAATTAAAGGGCAGATTTGTATTAGAAGATAACACTTCGAGCAATTGATTAGAATTTATTGGTAATATTTTATTGCAGCACTTGATAACTTTTTTGTTTTTTATTTGGAAAGGTCATTTGCAAAGCCACCGAGACAAGTACAAACTGTTTGTGAATGTATCCTTGTCATGAGAGGTTATAAAGAGATTAACTGGAAATCCGCCAAAGGCATGATGTCGGAGGCTAACTTCTTAAAGGTCCTTATGGAAATGGATTGTGATGCTATCGGACAGAATCAAGTCAAAACTGTAAAAGGTAAATGCATGACTAGAAGTGAAACTGTATACATTATTGATTGGAATGGGATGTAGTAACTTTATAACAATTAGATAGTGGGATATTGCTTATTTGATAGCTTGAGATTACACATTTTGTGATTCTTTGGTAACTGCACAGATCTCTCCTTCTGCTAACCGTACAGATGGGAGTGGAGTTAGTCATGAGGCACCTCATTTGTACAAGTTGAGTAGGGACAGCCTGTAAGTCCAACACCTGAAGTCTGTGGTTTTGACGATTTTGTTTCTGGTGATGAAAAATATTGAGGTGGAAAGAAATATTTGATTTAAAGGAATCCCACCTGCATTTCGAACTGACCTGTCACCCTTCTGTTGGGCTCACTTTTTAAAAAAATAATTTTGGATATTGCTGTCAAGGCTGGCAATTATTCCATATCCTTAATGATTTGATACAGCTACAAGGCTACCCTCACTGTTGTATAAGTGGAGTCATATTAATAGCAGGTTTTCTTCCCCAAAGAACATAATGAATAAGTTACACTTTTCTAGCAATTCAAAAGCTTCACAAGCACTGTTTTTTTGTAATTTTGTGGGATGTGGGCATCACTGGCAAGGCCAATATTTACTGTATATGCCTAATTGAACTCTGTGGCCATTTCAGAGGGCAGTTAACAGTTGACCAGCTTGCTTTGTGTTTGGAGTCACTCATAGACCACACCAGTTAATCATAGAATCCCTACAGTGTGGAAACAGGCCCTTCGGCCCAAAAAGTCCACACTGACCCTCAGAGCATCCCACCCAGACCCATCCCTATAACCCACCTAATCTACACAGCCCTGAACACTATGGGCAACTTAGCATGACCAATCCACCTAGCCTGCACATCTTTGGACTGTGGGAGGAAACCAGAGCACCTGGAGGAAACCCACGCAGACATGGGGAGAATGTGCAAACTCCACATAGACAGTCACCCGAGGGTAGAATTGAACCCAGGCCCCTGGTGCTGTGAGGCAGCAATGCTAACCACTGAGTCACCGTGCCGCCCCATATCTGCTAAGTATAGCAGATTTTCTTCCCTAAAGAACATTCGTGAATCAGGTGGAATTTATGACAATTGATAGTTTCAAAACCACCCTGATCAAAACTAGCTTTCCTTTCCAAATTTATTGATTGAATTCAGAATTCATTGGCTGACTTGGTGGTATCTGAGCCCATGTGGCACTGGATTACCAACCCAGTGACACCACCAGTTTGCCACCATTTCTCTCTTTTTGCTGATACTAGTTTTTAATTGCCAAATTATTGAATTGCTTCTCAAAACTACTATGATGAAATTTGAGTCTATATTCTCTGCAATACTAATAAGGCCTATGGAATGCTACTCCAATAAAATAGCCCCACTTTAGTACTCTGCTGTAGCTATTGTGGCTTCTTTCAATTGTAGCACAATAGTGCAAGGTCCCGCTATGATCCAGGAAGCCTGATACTCCTCTAACCCCATGGAAACCACTGACAGATGACAAGGCACAGGACAGTCATTTCTAGACTTACCCTTTGCACTCTGTGATGGTAATGGAACAGAAGGTCTATTCTGATTCAGGGCTAACATGTCTTTTTTTTATTTACTTGTGGGATGTGGGCATCGCTGACTGGTCAGCATTTTTATTGTCTGTCCCTAGTTGCTTTTGAGAAGGTGGTGGTGATCAGCCTTCTGCGACCACTGCAGTTTACCTGCTCTGGATTAGCCTACAATGTCCTTAGGGAGGGAATTCCAGGTTTTGACCTGGTGACACTGAAGGGACATCGATATATTTTCAAGTCAGGATGGTGAGTGGCTTGGAGGGGAACTTGCAGAAGATGGTGTTCCCATGTATCTGCTGCCCTTGTCCTTAGTGGAAATGATTGTGTACTTGGAACATGCTGTCTAAGGATCTTTGGTGAATTTCTGCAATGCGTCTTACAGATGGTACACACAGCTGCTGCTGAACATCAGTGGTGGAGGGAGTGGATGTTTGTGGATGTGGTGCCAGACAATGGGCTGCTTTGTCCTGGATAATGTCAAGATTTTTGAGTGTTGTTGGAGCTGCACCCATCCAGGCAAATGTAGAATATTCCATCACACTCCTGACTTTTGCCTTGTAGATACTGGACAGGCTTTGGGGAGTCAGGAAGTGAGTTACTTGCCACAGTATTCCTCGCCTCTGACATGCTCTTATAGTCACTATGTTTATGTGGCGAGTTGAGTTTCTGATTAATGGTAACCCCAAGGTATTGACAGTGGGGGATTCAATGGTGTTAACACTATTGCATGTCAAGGAGCAGTGGAGATGCTCACTGCCTGGCATTTGTGCGGCATGAATGTTACTTATCATGTAATCTTATCATGTAATCAGTGTAAAACACAAACGTGCTAAAGCAATATCACAATTCAGATACCAAAACAAGTCAGATTGCTTAATGAATAGTGTTTCCATTTGTAGGTTTTCTCAAGAATCTGAACACCTCATTTGATGAAATGCAGGCCATCAGCAGAGCAGGGGCTGGCATGTTGAAGTTTGTGGAGGCTGTCATGGGCTATTGTGATGTGGCTAGAGAAATCAAACCCAAACGAGAAAAGGTATGCATTACTTCAGAAAAGATAATGCCATAGTGTGTTCTGCAGTCATATATTTCATATGCATTTATCAAACAGTAATCTTTTATGACACCGAGATTTAATATTTCTCTCCTCACATGTTGATTTGTTGGTTGTGAAATGAAAGAAACTGAATATATCATTTCTATAGGTTGCCAGGTTAGAACGTAATTACTATCAAAGCAAACGTGATCTGGAGAAAATCCAAGCAGAGCTGGCAGCTATACAGAGGGAGCTTCAAGCACTGAGTGATCGGTATGAGGCTGCAATGAGAGATAAGCAACAGCTTCAAGAAGAGGCAGAAATCATGGAACGGCGATTGGTGGCTGCAGACAAGCTCATCTCTGGATTGGGATCTGAAAATGTTCGGTGAGTCCCATTAACAAAAGTTCATGCATCAAAAATTGAGACTGTATATTGGGGGATGATAGTAAATCTTTATTGTGTTTTATTGGCTCTCCAATTTGCTTTCTCGCCCTGACAATAGTGAGTGTCAACAGGTGGAATTTGAAGCGAGCTGTCAACCAATTTCGCTCGCTTAAAATTTGTGCTGTACATTCTGATTTGCTGTTGTATGTGCATTTACAGTGTTTGAGTTTCTGTAAAACTGATCAGCTTGAATTGGCTTCGATAGCCTCACTGGGGTCATGGGGACCTAGCCTCAACTTCACCCTTCTCAATTTGGCATTAGAAAAACTATATTTTTACAGGGAACTAAGGACGGGCAATAAATGCTGGCCCGCCAGTGATGCGCACATCCCACAAATGAGTAAAGAAAATGCATCATCTTTGAGTTCTTGTTTTATGCTTTCCCTTACATCTCCACGACTAGATTGTGTTAGCAGATTTATTGAATTCAGTTCACAATTTGCCATTGGTGGAATTTGCTGTCCTATAACGGCACTTGTTACCAGTTCATTTCACCAGCACAGGAGTTTGTTACACAGGAAGATTTGTACATGTTCTGTTCTGGATTACTATTTCACTGGTTTCCATTTGTAACTTTCTAATCCTTCAAGTAAAATTCAATCTTCAACTCTTGATGTTAAAATGATTGATTTTCCAAATCTCCAGAACAATTCACCTTTATCTATGTCCAAAGATCACTTTAAGCCAACAGGCATTGCCCTAGAGCAAAGGCCCAGCTCTCACACAACAACTTGGCCAACATTGTTCTAAAAAGCTGCAGAGCAGTGGCTCGTGTTCTCTGCCGAGAACTGGTGTGTGCTGCCACTGTACATGCTCACGAGCCTTTCATATTTTCAAGCCAATTCTGATTGATTGAGCTGGCAGAGAGGCCAGCCTTCCTCGGGGGTTTTCAGTGACCAAGGCTTCTTTTGGTGATGCCTGATCCTGGAATTTGCATTCTGGCTATGTTCTTAACATCGGGGGAATGGCTAAGACTGGCTTTTATTGAAGATAATACATAGTTTCTGTTTGAAAAAGGAAAATAAATCTCTGACCAGCAGTGAATGGATGCCACGGTTGGAAGCAAAGATGTTGATTTTACAAAACACGTGGACACATGGTACACCTGGCATGAGGCTGCTTCTCTCTGACGTGAAATGGCTTGCCATCATTTACGTGGGCAGTCACTTCTCGTGATACTTCATACTATTGTACATAAGTCTGAAAGGGTAAATACTGAGAAGTGCCAGAAGCACCATCCACCAGGATAATGTCTTATGGACTTGTGGGCAAAACAGCTTAGGATCTGGAAGGAGTGCAATCTAACATCCAGATCCTCCCCATAGTCTCTGTAGCAGTGTTTGTAACATCAATGTAAACTATAACTAGTTGCTCACTGGTAATTTACTAGATCTTGATAACTACTATTTTGTTATTATCTGAACATAATAAATTTTCCCTAAATAGATGGACAAAGGACTTGGAGGATCTAAAGATACGTAGAGTGAGATTACTTGGAGATTGTCTGATTTGTGCTGCTTTTCTGAGTTATGAAGGAGCTTTCAGCTCAGAGTTTCGCAGTGATATGGTTTACAATGAATGGCAGAATGATGTGCTGAAACGTGAAATTCCATTGAGTCAACCATTTCGATTGGAAAACTTGCTAACAGATGAAGTTGAAATTAGCAGGTCTGTTGCATCAGTGTGCAAACCTTGTTAAATTACTGATGTTAAATATTGCTCCAATGCCTGAAAAACACAGTTTTACAGTTAAGGTAATGATTGGAATCCCCAATGTCCTTGTTTAAATTTTGCTTCCATAATAAAGATAGAAAGATTCACAAATATAATGCCTTTCACAACTTCAGGACATTTCTCAATACTTTACTACAATGACCAGACCATCTATATTTTCCTAATGTTTTCCTCCTCCCCTTCAAAAACAAAACCAATTTTTGTACCACCTGCAAACTTCTTTATTATATTCTCTGCATTTGAGTCTAACTCTTTGATATAAGCATCAAAAAGCAAGTGTTTGAGTAATGAGCTGTGCAGAACCCCAGCGGTAACAGCCTTTGAATCATAAAAATACCCGGCAACAGTAATCCTTTGCTTCCTTCCACTAAGCCATAGAGTGAAGGGACAACCCTTTAGAACTGAGATGAGGAGGAATTTCTTCAGCCAGAAGGTGGTTAATCTATTGTACTGATTGCCACAGAGTGCTGTAGAGTCCAAGGCATTGAGTGTATTTAAGAGAGAGATAGATAGGTTCTTGATAAGTAAGGGGATCAAGGGTTACAGGGAGAGAGCAGGAGAATGGGGTTGAGAAACATATCAGCCGTGATCGAATGGCAGAGCAGACTTGATGGGCTGAACAGCCTAATTCTGCTCCTCCAGCTTTTGATCTTACAGTCTAAGCCTCTGTTGGGTCCAAATTCCACTGTCCCTTGGATCCCAAGGGTTTTAATTTGTTGATCAATCTGTCACACGAGAACTTGTCAAGAGCATCCATTGCATTGCTCCATACATTGTCTCTCAGAATTGATTCCGGTAATATGCCCACAAACAAGATGAAACAATCTGGCCTATTACTCCGATTATCCTTTCCTCCCTTTTTAAATAATATCACAGTGTTTGCAGTTTCCTAGTTTTCTGGAATCATTCCTGCAATCAGGAAGAATTTATTTTAACAGCTTTGGTTATATTTCATCTGGGCCTAATGATTTACCAACTTCAAAATTTGGTCAAACCCTTTCATGTTTCCTCTATTGCAATGTTTACCCTATCTAGTATTCCACACTCATCTTCTTTAGCTATAATATCTTCATTGAACCATTGTGAAGAAAGCTCGTAGTATTCACAAGAAACTTTTCTCACATCATCGGTCCACACACAGAGCTTATTTATCATTCTAGGTTCATTAGACCCACACTGTCTTTAGTTATCCTCTTCAAGTTTGTATACTTATAAAACATCTTTGGATTTGCCTTAATGTTAGTTGCTAGTAATTTTTCATGCTTTTTCTTTTCTTTCCTAATTTCCCTTTAGTCTGGCCTCAAATTTTCTATACAATTGTAGACTTTCTGCAGTATTGTGCTCTCGGCATCTGACATGAGCTTTTTTTTTGCATTACTTTACCCTGTACACACCTTACATTGAGAGAACTGAGGATTTGACTGTTCCATCCTTTTTCTCCATGAGAATATTTTTAATCTGAACCCTTTAACTTTGAAAGATCTGATATGACATATACATATAAACTTTGTTCGTATATAAAATGTTTAATGTAACAGAATCTGGCTGGTTAGCAGAATGAAGATTTACGATTTATTCTTGTGGAATCAGGTGGGGCTCAGAAGGCTTGCCACCTGATGAGCTTTCTGTTCAGAATGGAATCCTTACAACACAAGCTAGTCGATTCCCACTGTGTATCGATCCTCAGCAGCAAGCCTTAAACTGGATTAAAAGAAAGGAAGCAAAAACCAATTTAAAGGTAAAGGTTTCTGCCCAAACACACAGCTCATAGACCAACCTTGTGTATGTTACTGATACAGTGTTCATCTTTGTTGAGATGCCATTCAGTCTATTGTGCGGTTCTTTGCTGAATTATTCAATTACATATCTTAAGTAGCCTCTTTTAAAAATAGTAATATACTCAGAAATGTGATCAATGGTAATTGAGTCTAATCTCTTCCAGATCTCTTCATTTAATGATCCTGATTTCCTGAAACAATTAGAAATGGCTATCAAGTATGGATTTCCCTTCTTGTTCCAAGATGTAGATGAATACATTGATCCGGTGATTGATAATGTTCTAGAAAAGAACATTCAAGGACAGCAGGGCCGCTATTTTATTGTGCTTGGTGACAAAGAGGTTGACTATGATCCTAACTTCAAACTGTACCTCAATACAAAGCTGTCAAACCCCAAGTACCAGCCTTCAGTTTTTGGGAAATCCATGGTGATAAACTATAATGGTAAATTCTGCTGCAGTCTGCATCACCTCATCCAAAACGTGCATGATGTGTCCATAATAGCATATTTAACTCGACCTGGAAAAGTGGAATTAATGTAGATACTAGTATATTTTTGGTGGAACAGACTCGATGGGCCAAAGGGCCTCTTCTGTGCTGTATGACTCTATGGCATAGGAAGCTCTGCTCAGAATGCATGAAACATTTGCTCCATGAGCAGGCTTTTATTTGCCATTAAACTCCAGTCAAACCACAAACTGTCAATCTCATCACATCAGCAATAGTTCTATTTGTTTTATTGAAGTTAAAATTAAAACTGAAGCTTGCTGAATTTATTTCTTTCCGCAGTGACATTAAGTGGATTAGAAGACCAGTTGCTAAGTGTTATTGTGGCCTTTGAACGGAAGGAACTCGAGGAGCAGAGAGAACGTTTGATCAAAGAAACCAGTGAGAACAAGAAACTACTGAAGGACCTTGAGGATTCCCTGCTACGGGAGCTGGCAACTTCCACCGGAAACATGTTAGACAATGTCGAACTTGTCAAAACTCTAGAAGAGACGAAGACTAAAGCTACTGAGGTGAATGGATTACCGGACAGCTGAATCACTGTTTATTTCAAAAACAGTGAAATATTTTGGTGCCGTCTCACGTTTTTCTATTAGATGTTTCTAGGAGGCACATAATCCACATCCTGCAGTGTCCCTAAATATAAAAGGAAGAACGAAAGTTTAAATGCAGTAGCTATTGCACTGATGAGCTGGGCTCGTCTGTCGTTGAGGATGATGATACTTGTGGAATCCCCACCTTTTGTGAATTGCTTAATTTTTCATCACAATTTACATTTGGATGTGGCAGTACTGCAGAGCACAGATCTGATCTGGTGATTGTGGAATTGCTTAGCTCTATCTAATGCTTGTTGCATCTACTTTTTAGTATGCAAGTTGTCCTGTGTTAAAGCTTCACCAGTTGACATATCAGTTTTAGGTATGTTTGCTGCTGCTGCTGCATGCCGTTTTACATCCTTCAATGATCCAGTGTTACATCTCTCTGAGCGAATGTGCTGGAAATCAGCCTGCTATTCTCGCAGTTATCACAAAAATTTAAATTTCTATCAAAGTAGAGAAAGTCCCCAATTTACCTGCCTGATAAACTCAGGTTAACAGAAAATACAGTCTAGGTTTCTGTACTTAACAAGGACTGCTATTTAATACAATAAATCGATTCTAATCCCAAGTTAACAATTATGAACTGTCAACATATAACTGTTCCTGTTAAAATTCTAACCCCTTCTAAAAGCACCTACACACACTTAGAGACAAACAAAAAAAAAATCATCATTGTTATGGATGGAGAGTAAAAAAAAACAGGGGAAACCATGGCCCCAATTCCCAGGAAGGAGGTGTTCCTTTTCTTCCTAATTCCTTTAGTTCTGAGTTTTTCCTTCAGGTTCTTTTACTGCTTCAGTGAAAGCAGAGCACAGAGGGCACAGTGCAACAAATTATAAAGAAAAACCAAAAGAACTGTGGAAGCTGTAAATCAGGAACAGAAACAGAAGTTGCTGCGCAGTCTGGCACCATCTGTGAAGACAAATCAGTGACCCTTCCTCAGACCATTATAAAGACTCTGACTTATTGGTTAAAAACAACAGTTTACAGCAACTAGTGTGAGAAAAAAAATGGCTTTCTTTAGCTTCGGGTATTTTACTGGAGAGACAGAGACACTACCTCCCCTTCCTGATGTCTAGGGGCTACTTACTATCTTGCTAACACCTACAAGTTGTTCACATATGCAGGAACCAATCATAATTGTTGTCAGGTTGATGGCTTTTGGCACCCACAACTGATCACAATTCTACAAACCAATCAGCAAACTGTTGCCAGCTGAATCTTACTTTGTATTCACACTCCAGTGCCATGCGCCTATTTACACTATCCTTCACTGCTTGCAAAGCAACAGTCTAAACATTACTCACAATGAGTTTCAGCATTGTGTTCTTTCAAAGCACAGCAGTCCTTCCTCAGTTCTTTGTTGTTAAACAATCCTTTTCCCAATTCATTCCACATTTAAAAACTAAATAAAATAAAAAGACACAATGTTTACACCAGGGTTGATCTCCCAGTTTGATAGTAATGATGGAGTAGGCCATGGTGCTGCAGGTTGTGGTTGAATACAATTCTGCTGCTCCTGATACCTGTTTTTATGCAGTTATATCTGTTTGGAGCTATTATATTTAACATGGTGGTGGCACATGTGAGAGGCTATCATCAATGTAAAGAAAGTCCTTGTAGGGATGCAATCCTGAGCAGTGGTCTCTGTTACCAATTCTGTGTGGGATGGTGCAGGTACAGGTAAATTGGTGGATAAGGTCAAATAGCTTTTGCTGCCTTATTCTGTGTGTGTGTGTGTGTGCGCGTGTGTGCGTGTGCGTGTGTGAGCGTGAATGATATACCTGTCAACTTGAAAAAATTGCGTTTAGAATTCGTAACAGATCATGTAATATCGGTCTCTCTCATCTAATTGTTTGATAAACATAAAGCCAGTATAAACTGTTCCCTTTGGCAGGTGATGGAGAAACTAGTACTAGCTGAAAAAACTGCAGTAGATATTGACAAGTTACGTGATGGATATCGACCGGCAGCCAAGAGGGGTGCAATTTTGTTTTTTGTCCTGTCAGAGATGGCAATCGTTAACAGCATGTACCAATATTCTTTGGCGTCATTCCTTGAAGTCTTTGATTTATCTTTGCGTAAATCTTTGCCTGATTCTATACTTCAAAAGCGACTGAGGAACATCATGAAAGCATTGACCCTTAATATGTACAACTATGGCTGCACAGGTCAGTGACACTCAGTTGCAGTCCTTATGCAGGTATTGTTTAATTGAAAATGCAGTGTTTTAAATACTAACTGCACTGAGCATGTCCAATTAAGTGTTAAATTACATTGGGCTATTTGTTGCATAAGGGAGACTTCTTCCCACTTTCTTTAAACTTGAACTCATCTGAAACTCTATTCTGGTCTTGTCTCTCACACTGTTACACCAGCCCATTCCTTTGTCCTCCAGTGGCTTCCCTTTGTCCAAAACTTAACATTCTCATTCTTATGGTTAAATCCTCCATGGTTTCAGCCTTCACTGCAATATCTCTTCAATGTTTCCAGCTCCACATTCCTCTGACTCTAGTGTCTTGCCAGTTATAGGGATTGGCCAGGGTTTTTTTTGTTCATTCATGGGATGTGGGTGTCACTGGCTGGGCCAGCATTTATTGCCCATCTGTAGTTGTCCTGAGAAGGTGGTGCTGAGCTGCCTTCTTGAACCACTGCAGTCCCTGTGCTGTAGGTAGACCCATAAATGGCACAAGGGTACTAACAAGTACTTTTTGAATAATTATTGAAAGGTTTTTAAAAAAAGTTACTGAGAAATTAACAGCTTTTCCCCAATCTAACTAGATAATCCTTTTGAATATCTTTTTAAAGTCACTTTTAAATTATTTAAAATTAGGTTACTCAGAGATTGATGCTGACATTGGGATTAAAATGCTCATTTTCGTGATAAATCCATTTACAACTGTAGTAATCAAATGTTACCAAACATCAATATATCAGAGGATATTTTAATGCAAAATATTTCTACAAAATTATGCTTTAAAATGCCTGGTTACACTGTGGCAGACTTTGCAAATTTGTAAACAGAAGCTTGGAGGAAAAATGACATTTTAAAACAGGCACAGTTGAAATTACTGATTATACCCAAAGTGGAAAGTTTAGCCCTGTTCCCCTGGATGTTGGAACTCAATAGAACTTGCAACCTTCACTTGCTAATAGCAGAAATGCAACTGTAAATGTATTTTAAAGTTAATATCTCCTTGTCATTTCAGGTCTGTTTGAACGACATAAATTGCTTTTCTCATTCAACATGACAATAAAAATTGAGCAGGCAGAACGTCGAATTCCTCAGGAAGAACTGGAATTTTTCTTGAAAGGTAAGTTTACAAACAAGAGTGGTGTTTTTCTGGTTGTAAGTTGTACTTGTAATTGACTTATTAATTGTAAATTCACAATAATCGAACATGATGCTTCCTCCTGTAATGGGCAGCATGGCATTATCTCAGTACTGACCTCCTAAGGCTGTAGTTCTCCCTCAGCACTGACCCTCCGACAGTGCGGCGCTCCCTCAGCACTGACCCTCCGACAGTGCGGCGCTCCCTCAGCACTGACCCAGTCAGTCTAGATCATGTGATCAACTCTGGACTCAGACTTGAGGTCAGGGTCAGTCAAAGAATGCTTGTGCTGCCTTGTACTGGAGCTGTGGCTGAGACTCGCTGCTCAGTGCTATGTGTGGGTTGGCCGTGTTCTGCAACAACTGACTTGCCGCTGCCACCAATGAGAAATCAATTCAATCAACCAGTTAAGATCCAACTAGCAAACATCTCTGTGAATCATAAATCTCAATGCCAAAGTCATGCCTCATTAGAAGTTGCTTCCATTTTGAGACTGGAAGCGCCTGGGCCCCAGAGATTTGATTTAATTTATTACTGTCACATGTACCAAGATACAGTGAAAAGTATTGTTTAGCGTGCTAACCAGACAAATCATATCTTACATACGTGCATAAGGATAATAGAACAGAATGCAGAATATAGTGTTACTGCTGCAGAGAAAGTGCAGACAAAGATCAACTCTGACATATATGTGGTCTGTTCATAAGGCTGGTAACAGTGGGGAAAAAGCTGTTCTTGAATCTGTTGGTATGTGTTTTCAAACTTTTGTACTTCTGCTCGATGGAAGAGGGTGGAAGAGAGTATAACCAGGGTGGGGAGGGTCTTTCATTATGTTGGTTGCTTTCCTAAGGTAGCGGGAAGTGTAGATAGAGTCAATGGAAGAGAGGCTGGTTTTCGTGATGGACTGGGCTGCGTTCACAACTCTCTGTAATTTCTTGCGGCCTTCAGCAGAGCAGTTCCCATACCAAGCTGTGATGCATCTGGATAGGATGCTTTCTGTGGTGCATCTATAAAAATTGGTAAGAGTCATTGTGGGCGTGCCGAATTTTCTTAGCCTTCTGAGGAAGTAGAGGCGTTGGTGTGCTTTCTTATGGTGGCACAATAATGCAGGGGTTAGCTCTGTGCCTCATAGCGCCAGGGACCTGGGTTCAATTACAGCCATGGGTGACTGTCTGTGTGGAGTTTGCACATTCTCCCTTTGTCTGCGTGGGTTTCTGCCAGGTGCTCTGATTTCCTCTCACAATCTAAAGATGTGCAGGTTAGATGGATTGGCCATGCCAAATTGCCCTGTAATGTCCAGGGACATGTAAGATAGCTGGATGAGCCATGGTAAATGTGGGGTTACAGGGATAGGGTGGAATACTGGGTCTGGGTGAGTTGCTGTTTGGAGGGTCGATGCAGGTTTGATGGGCTGAATGGCCTCTTTCTGCACCGTGGAGATTCTATTATTCGACACTGTAGTGCTGATTTGGATGGACCAGGATAGACTATTGGTGATATTTACTCCTTGGAACTTGAAGCTGTCAACCATCTCCACTCAATTAATACAGGCAGGGCCATGTATTCCTGAAGTCGATGACCAACTCCTTCATTTTGCTGAAACTGGGGGAGAAATTGTCTTTACACTAGTGATTAAGCTGTCTATTTCTTTCCTGTACTCTGTCTTGTCATTGTTTGAGATCCGACCCACTACGGTGGTCTCATCAGCAAATTTGTAAATGGAGTTAGAGGTGAATTTGACCACAGAGTCATGAGTGTAAAGGACTGTAGTTAGGGAATGAGTACGCAGCCTTGTGGGGCGCTGGTGTTAAGGATTATCGTGGAGGAGGGGTTGTCGCCTATCCTTACTGATCGTGATCTGCAGTTCAGGAAGTCGAGGATCCAGTTACAGAGGGGGAGCAGAGTCCTAGGTCTTGAAGTTTGGATGTGGAGATGCCGGTGTTGGACTGGGCCGGACAAGGTCAGAAGTCAAATGCCACCAGCTTATAGTCCAACAGGTTTATTTGAAATCACAAGCTTTAGAAGAGCTACTCCTTCATCAGGTGAAGTTTGGAGATGCATTTTGCTGGAATTATGGTGTTGAAAGCAAAGCTAAAGTCAATAAATAGGAATCCTAGGTAACCTTGTTATCCAAATGTTCTAGGGATAAGCGTAGGCTTCAGGGAAATGATGTCTGCCGTGGACCTGTTGTGACAATAGGTGAATTGTAGTGGATCAAGGCAATCTAGGACGCTGGAGTAGTTGTATGTCATTACTAACCTCTCAAAGCACTTCATAATGATGGATATCAGAGCCAGTGGGTGGTAGACATTAAGGCTTGATTTTTCTTCAGCACCGAAATGATAGTGGTCTTCTTGAAGCAGGTGGGGACTTCACGTCATAGTAAGGAGAGGTTAAAGATGTCTTCAAATACTCCCAGCAGCTGGTCTGCACAGGATCTGAGTGCATAGCTGGGGACTCCATCTGGGCCAGTCACTTTCTGTGGGTTCACTCTCAAGAAGGTCGATCTGACATCCGCAGCAGTGACTGTGGGTACACATGCACCTGAGCCTGTTGGGGCAGGTGACCATTTCATTGACCTTCTGTTCACAATGAGCATAGAATGGATTGAGCTCATCAGGGAGAGATGCATTGTTGTCAGCAATTCTACTCGACTTCGCTTTGTAGCCTGTTATATCGCATAAGCCTTGCTGAAGTCAGTGTGTGCTCGTGTGGTAAATCTGGGACTCTAGACTAGTCTGGCATTGTCTCTTGGCATCCCTGATGGCTTTGCGAATGCCATATCTAGATTTCCTGTATAGGTCAGGGTCACCTGACTTGAACGCCTCAGACCTGGACTTTAGTAGGGAATGGATCTTTTTGTTCATCCATTAACTTCTTTGGCATGCAGTCCTCTACACACTTACTGATGAAGTCTCTGACGCTAGAGGCATAGTCATTTAGGTTGGCTGCTGAGTTCTTGAATATGAACCAGTCCACAGATTCCAAGCAGTCACGTAGGAGCTCGCCCATTACCTCACACCAGCACTGTACACCTCTCTGTACCGGATCCTCACGCATCAGTTTCTGCTTGTAAGCTGGCAGAAGGAGCACAGCCTTATGATCTGATTTACTAAAATATTGATAGGGAATGGAGCAGTAGGCGTCTTTGAAGGTTGTGTAGCAATGGTCCAGTGTGTTTGGGCCTCTGGGGCGATAGGAGATGTGCTTGTGGTAACTTGGTAACACACTGTTGAGATTAGCCTGGTTGAAGTCGCCAGCTGCGATGAACAAGGCCTTGGGTTATTCCATCTCAACGCTATTTGTAGCAATGTATATTTCATCAAGTGCTCTGTTCACGTCCACATGGGGTCCCTGAAGTCCTCGTTTTCATGGGAGCCAGTGACCAGAAGATGGGGCCTTTTATTCTGGGCCTCAGCAGGAGGGGGAGGATCTGAGAGCAAGCCAACCAAGTGACTTTCAGTGACTATTTACTCGACCCCACCTCTGACCCCTATTTCCACTAGATTGGGATAATTGGAAATTCCCCCCCCTCCACTGCTAACCCAGAAGGTAGGATTGGTTACCAGCCAACCAGTCATTTTGCTTATTTGCCAAGGAGCAAGGTAATCAGGCTGTGGTGGCTAGTCAAGTCCCTTAAGTAGCTGTTAATTGACTACTGAACGGCCTTGATCAGTGGTGAGTTGAAAAGGTCCCGAATGGACCTTCCTACCAAGATTTTAATTGCTGAGGTGCTGAGAAGCAGCTGAGTATCTCTCCAGGACCAACTCACTCACTTACCTGTCCTTATCATCACCCTCCTGGCTAATGCCAAGGGAAGAACTTGGCCTGCGTAGTGCCTTGTACTCGAGTGCTAGGAGAGTTTTGTAAATGCCATGTTTTATTATTTAGAATTTAATGTTAATTTTTTGATAGACTTAAAATGCATCCTTAAATAACGTCATTAAATTTTAAAAGAAATTGGGTCAATAACTGCTGTTAATGGATGCTCTTCATTCCCACGTGATGTGAGTCTGTTTTAAGTGAATGAATCCATGCAATAACAAGTCTGCAGTGAACTCCATATAGCTCCCGTGGAAAGATGCAACAGTTGGATAGGCATAAATGATTTATGCCACATCTTTCCAGTAATCTTTGAGCATAAACGAGAGACCCCTCTCCACAAGCAGATAATCAAGGCTCCGTATTGATTGCCAGAAGTATTTGCATGCAGTAGTTAGATTTCTCGTGGTATTTGACATCATTCTTTTCAGTGTTTCTGTTACAAACAGTTAATCTGTGAAAGGTTTCTTCACTAAGCCCTGATTCTTGAGATGCTGAAATTCCAATTCAGATACTCCAGATGTGTAAGTCCTGAAGCCAACACCATGGGCAGTTTTAGATTGTTGGTTGGATGTGTAGGCATTGGGAGTTTGGCTAACTGACATCACAAACACCCAGTTATTTCTACAGCTAAGTTCTGAGGAAGGGTCACCGGACCCAAAACGTTAACTCTGTTTTTTCCTTCACAGATGCTGCCAGACCTGCTGAGCTTTTCCAGCAATTTTTTTTTTGTTATTTCTACAACTAATCCAGCTCATCACTTTCTCTGATCCACATCTTTGGGTTTATTTACTTACTGTTTATTACAAATTCCTAATTTCATAAGAGAAGGATTCAAATGCAGTGCTAGATCAGTGAAAAGTTGAGGTTGTTGACTTGCTCACTGAGCTGGCTTGTTTTTGTTCAGATGTTTCGTCACCCTGCTAGGTGACATCATTAGTGGAGCCTCTGATGAAGTGATGTTATTCTACTCCAGTTGGAATTTATACTGTCTAGTCTGTTATGGTGAGCACTGTCATTTCCGGTTTTGATCTGTATGGGTTTGTATATGGGGTCCATTTCTATATGTTTGTTGATTGAAGTTTGGATGGAGAACCATGCCTTGAGAAATTCCCGTGCGTGTCTATCTTTGGCTTGGGCTACGATGGTTGCCTTGTCCCAGTTTTCCTGCTTGGCCTGCTGTGTTCATCCAACTCTACACCTTGTTATCTTAAATTCTCCAGCATCTGCAGTTCCTACTATCTCCCGAACTATGGTGTCGGGTCTGTCGCCATCTGTTGGTAGGTGTCGATGTCTGCTAGTAGTGTGTTAGTTTTATCGATGTACTGGGCTCTGTTGAGAATTACTGTCATGCGTCCTTTGTCTGCCGATAAGATCATAATGTTCCTGTCTTTCTTGAGTCTTTCCAGGGCTTTCCTCTCTTCTGTGTTGAACGAGTTCCACTTACCTTTTTTGTTCAGTGTTGGGACTATCGTCTTCTGATGATCTGTTGTACTTCTTCTGTGAGTCCGTTGCCCTTTAGTGTCGATTCCAATCCAGCCAGGAAGTCAGTCTTTTTGGTGTCTCTGTACCTATAATTCAGTCCGCGTACTAGGACGGTCTTCTCAGTGTCTGTAAGTGGTTAGTTTGACATGTTTTTAATCCATGAATCTGTGTTTTGTCTGTATCGTTGATGTGGGTGATTTTGGACAGCTTTCTTGAAGGTCTATTCTTTTCTTTATTCTGGTCTTTTGTTGTTGTGTGGTGATGGCTTGTTCCAGTATGGATGTCCATTCCTGGTTGGTTGCATTGGAGTACAAAGTTTTGTGGCACGCAATTTCCTGCACGTACTTGTGGAGGCGTTGTGGGCATCGTTGATCATAACCCGTTCTGCACCCGTTCTGTTCAGCTGTCCTCCATGCCTGTGGATTGTTGATAGGTGGTTTATCCTTTAAGCTTTGTGGCAGTTTCTGCTTTCTGAGGCACTTGTGCTGGAAATATAGTTGTTCGTGGGTTACACTCAGTCGGATGGCATTTATTTCCCATTTGCGGGCCAGTTTGAGGGTGTTGTGCGCATAGGTGTTTAAAGTTTTCAAGAAGATTTATAGCTCGGGTTGTGGATGACGTTGTAGACATGTAGACGGTAAACGTTTCTTCACCCTAGTAGGTAATATCCATCATCAGTGCACTTCCGGTGAAGCATCAGTGTTCACCAGCAAAACCGGTGTAATATACGAAATACCATGCAAGGACTGTGAGAAACTCAAACTGGAAGAAAACTGACAGTATGGATACATGAACACCAAGTAGCCACCAAGAGACACAACCAATTCTCACTTGTCTCACGACACATGGACAATGAGGGACACAAATTCACAAATTTGACTGGAACAACATATCCATAATCGCACAAGCCAAAGAGAGACATGCCAGGGAATTCCTGGAGGCCTGGTATTCCAACTGGAACTCCGTCAACAAACAGATTGAATTAGACCCTGTGTACAAACCACTAAGAAACAGAACCGGAAGGAAAGCAACCACCCCAGCAAACCGAGGCATATAAATAACAAGCGGGACAGAACACTGACACTTCACCAGAGATGCACTGACGATGTTAGCTAGCAGGGTGACAAAATGTTGCAACCAAACCATTGGCTCAGTGAGTATGTCTGTAATCTTATTCACAACCCGAGCTACAAATCTTCTTGAAAACTTTAAATGAGTGTGGGTTGTGGGATTTCAGAAGGGTCTGTTAAAAACACAGGGTCAAAAATGGAGATGGAGCTAACCTGGATAATCAAAGGGGAATTGTTTTAATATCTGCGATATGAAAATAGTTTTAAAATCTTAAAATGAAGTTTACTGAATCAAAAGCAAATAATGAGAAGTATTCAGTGTAAAGTTTAGAAAACAAGTCTGCGTTTAGCAAGAAGTTTTTTGAGGAGCTGATGTATATTGAGAATGGGAGAAGGGCAGTGAGTGTAGCACATAATGCCTTTATTGAAAGCCTCTGAAGAAGAGCCACAGAAACAAGGACTGAGTTTGGAGCTGAGAGGATTGTAGAGAAATGTGCAAAACTGGAGGAGCTCAGGTAATTTTTCACTGCCATTGTAAATTTGGATTAACAGATTGTCTAGTCTTGTATTCAGTACTATTTATGGGATCTTTCTGTGTATGAAATGGCTGCTATGTTTGACTACAAAATAACTAACCACACTTTAGAAGAAATTCATTGGCTGTAAAGTATATAAAATGCAACTATGTTCTTTCAAACACTAAAATTATTAATTATTGCCACAGTGCCATTAGGGAGGGGATTCTAGGATTTTGACCCAGCGACATTAAAGGAACGGCGCTATGTTTCCAAGTCAGGATGGTGTGTGGTTTGGAGCGGAACTTGAGAGTGGTGCTGTTCCCATGCATTTGCTGCCCATGTCCTTCTAGATGGAAGTGGTCATGAGTTTGTAAGGTAATGTCTCAGGAGCCTTGGCCTCTGAGTATGAGTATGTCAGGCTGTTGTTTGACTCATCCGTGAGACAGCTCTCCCAATTTTGTCACTAGCCCCCAGACTTTAGTAAGGATGGCTTTGCAGAGTCAACAGGGCTATGTTTACCATTCTTGTTTCCGGTGCGTAAATCGATGCCAGGTGGTCTGTCAGGTTGCACTTCCACTGTGACATTTCCTAGCAATTGATATATCTGGGTGGCTTGCTAGGCCTTTTCAGAGGGCAGTTAGGAGTCAGCTACATTGCTATGGGTTTGGAGTCAAAATATAGGTCAGACTAGGTAAGAATGGCAGTTTCAACACAATGTGGAGCTGGAGGAACACATCAGGCAGCTTCAGAGGAGCAGGAAAGTTGACATTTCGGATTTACACCCTTCACCTGTCCTGTATTGACTCTAACACCAGCATCTGTAGTCCTTGCTTTCTCCAAGGATGGCAGTTCCCTTCCTTAAAAGAGCATTAGTGAACCTGATGGGTTTTCCCAACAAGCTGCAACAGTTTCAAAGTGATAAGTAAACTCTCAATTCCAGGTTTTTAAAATTGAATTTAAGTTTCACGATCTACCATGGTAGGAGTTGAACCTGAGTCCCCAGAATATTGTGTGAACCTCTGAATTAATAGTCCAGCAATGGTAGACCATTGCTTCCCCTCACTTTTATGTTTGCTCAAATAATGAGCAGCTAACCCTTTCTGCATTTCATCACCATCAGACATTCAAATGCCACGGGCAAGCCTACAGTAATTTAATGAAATGTTTGACATCAGACAGATAAAACTGCCCCCCCACAGTGAGCCAAATATGTCAGATAGCAGCAGCGATGTTTCATTAACGGTGTCAGGTACAGAGTGGTGCATGACATCATTTACAATTAGCTCTATCGCACTTTTCACAGGAAACATTTCTCTGGAAAAAAGCAAGCGAACAAAACCATGTAATTGGCTCCCAGACCAAGGTTGGGAGGATATTATCCGTCTAGCAGAGGCTTTCCCGGAGAAGTTTGGAACCCTTCCAGATGATCTGCAGATGCATCTAGCAGATTGGCAAGTTGTAAGTATTAAACTCACTGCTACTTCAAAAGCCCCATAATGGATACAACAAAATAAATTATGGTCCCAATGGTTCATAAAGCGCAGACAAACAACTGGAGTTGAGGTGCAGGTCACCAAGGATCTTACTTGATGATGAAACAACTGAAGTGACTGGTTGGCCACCACTCATTGCTGTGTGATGGGAAACACTGCAGAATTTTGAAATGAACACTGTTCAGAATGGGAACTGAGCTCATCATATTACCAGCAATAGCTGGATCCTTTAAAATGATCATTACTTCTTTTGTGTATCTCATCATGCAGCTATTCAACAGAATTTGGGACGAGATTTGGTTTCAGTTTTCTCCGCAATTCTCACATTACTAAACAGTAGTGTCAGCAGTTCATTGCAGTCCAGTGCAAAATGCTGTATAGTGCCAGGTCAAAACTTTATTCCGTTGCAAAATTTACCTTTTGAGAGTTAAAAAATGGTGAATACTACTTATTTGATAACAGTGTGATACCTTGAGGATAGACAAAATATTACACTTTTCCTTTTGAGCAAGCACATTTCTAGGAATCTGTTAGGTATGATAAACTCAGCAAATGTGGATCTGTGCATATTCCTTTGTGCACTTAAAATTACAGATGAATTTGCGTTACCTTGGTATTGATATGATGTGTGTTGTAGCTTCAGTGCATGGCCAGCAGATGGCAATAAGAGTACATTGAATCATTAGCAGTTCATAAGGATGGCTCAGACTCTGAGGCTGGGGTTTTCCCTTTGTGACCAGATCCTAACTCCAGGATTAACTGGGGGGGAGGTGGGGTGTCACAATCCAGACTGAGTGGGCAACAGTCATCCACCAATGGTTTTCCTGAATTGGCTAATGAGAGGGCAGACTCGACATCCAGGCAGACAACACAAGGAGGCTGTGCAGCTTCTAAGGAGGTGAAGCTTGTACTTGAGGCATCACAGAGACAGAGGTGTGGGGAAGCCTCCAGAATGGCCAGCATGAACTTTTAGGGCGGCACGGTGGCTCAGTGGTTAGCACTGCTGCCTCACGGCGCCAGGGACCCGGGTTTGATTCCAACCTCGGGCGACTGTCTGTGTGGAGTTTGCACATTCTCCCCATGTCTGTGTGGGTTTCCTCCGGGTGCTCCGGTTTCCTCCCACAGTCCAAAGATGCGCGGGTTAGGTGGATTGGCCATGTTAAATTGCCCGTAGTGTTCAGGGAAGTATAGATTAGGTGGGTTATAGGGGGATGAGTCTGAGTGGATGCTCTGAAGGTTCGGTGTGGACTTGTTGAGCCGAAGGGCCTGTTTCCACACTGTAGGGATTCTGTGATTCAAATGTAAAATAGTCCATGGTGAAGGTCAGGCAGGGAGGGCTTCGCAGACTGCCTGCAGCTTTGACATTCCCAGCCTGTCACCAGGAGGCTAGCTTGCCCAGCCCTCAGTGCTCCTGGATGTGCAGAGGGGGTAGCCACAAGCTGAACCAAAAATTCTGTACAGCTTCTGTCAAGAGGCTTTTCCTCAGGCTTTCTCTCACTC